CGCTTCAATGGGTGTCAATACAAGCTGCAACTAAAAAAAAAAAAAAAAAAAACTCATGAGAAGGACGCATTTCCAAGAAAGTTGCAATGCATGTGTTGGTGAGCACTTCATGTCCGTTATCAATTAAATTGACATGAAAAAAAAAAACTATGGACTTGGCCCGATTGTAAGTGTCGTGGCTTGCATGCAAAGCAACAAATGAAGTTTGAGTGATTTAGCATTGGACCAATTATTAATGAATAATAGCACGAAGAAACCATTTGGCAAGTTACTGTATCCAATGGTCCTGAGGCGGCTATGCCATTCGTTCAATGCAAGGTCATGCAATATGGATTTCAAGGACCAAAAGAACGTGTAATATGCAGGTTTATGATGAGCCAGGTTCTGTCCAGTAGTAAAAAAAAAAAAAAGAAAAGGAATTGGTGCTTATAAATTTCATATCTTCATATGATGCATTCACATGCAAAATGACAATGGAGTCCGAAATTGACTTCAGATAGGGGGTCAAGCATGAATCAAAGCCAGGCAGTCCCTATGTGCACTAAGTCTCATTGAGACAATTGAGCAAGCAACTAGTGCAAGGAGATTGAATTCTTAATGGCAACCAGTTAGAAAAAAAAAAAGGAAAAGATCATGTTATGTGGAGAATATTGATTCAAGCTACAAGTTTTGAAGTGTCCCTACGAAATATTGTCCGTAGTATGGCATTACCAAGTAGCTCTAGTGCAGGTGGTGCAAGCAGGCAATAAGGACAAAATCGAATTTTCAGCAGCAACAAGTGCAAGAAAGGGATTAAAATTCCAGCAACATCAAACGCGGGAAAGTTGAATTTCCTAGCAAGAAAGTTTCCAGATAAGATTGTGAGTTACCTGGGATGAAGTCCGCAAATTGTAATTCACCAAGAAGGCTGGAAAATTTTGGTGCGATTGGAATAGTATCAAGATGAAAGCTGGAAAACCTTACAAGCTTGGGAGCTTCGCAAATTGTAATTCTTCAAGAAAGCTGAAAAACTTCGGTATAGCTTCAGGCAGCTTTACCTCTTTATATAAAACTCATATATGCTAGAAAAGAGGAAGTCAGTTTCTCATTCGAAAGTCTTATGAAAAATTTTGGTAGTATGTCCATACGGTATTCAATTGAGGAAGCTGGGGAAATTTGGGAAGTGCCGGGTTGCCGAAAAAAACTCGTTTAGGCCATGAGTTGGTCTTAGCACTTTCTAGTTTCAGTATCTTGCTTGACGCTTGAGGGGTTTAGAAAGTGAAGCAATAGGGGTTTGATTGAACAATTGCTCAGAAGCTCGGTTGTCTAAGGGTCCGCGATTAGTCGCTTGGGACATCTGGAATTCTAAAAATCAATGAAGCCATCATGCAGGCAATACCATTGGTCTGACAATTACCAAACCACTGCGATGATCCAACTACAATTTTAGCATCTTGGGTTCAGTTTCCAAAAGTCATTCGGTTGATAGTTTCCAATGGTTTACAAGTTGATTGTAGCAATTGTTGATTTGCTCCCATGGTGCTTGATTGAATATTCATTCTGGGCGGTGGACCTATTTTGATTGGTACGTGAAAATAAAGATCCGAAGGAAAGAAATCACCTACCTTCTACACCGTCCAATAGTTGGTTTTGGCAATTAGCCAATTCATTGCAAGTACTCAATGAATTCGGCAGTGCTCAATGAAATTTGCTCAATTCCAAATGAATTCGGTAGGCACTTGCCCAATTACCAATTCATTGCAAGTGCTCAATGAATTTGGCAGTGCTCAATGAATTTGGCAATGCTCAATTTGGAAATAATTGAAGGTGGCATGTTTCTAATTCTCTTGGAATCAATTGCAAGTCAAAAGGGAAAGTGGGCTCCTGTCTCTTTAAAGCATTGAAGCCACGGCAGTATGATTCTACACTTGAATCAATTGGAAGCTACAAGTTTCGGCAGTAGTACTTCTTTAAATCAAGTTTGAGAAATCAATTCCAATTTGGAAGCTACAAGTTCTGGCAATGGTACTTCTTTAAATCAAGTTTAAGAAATCAATTCCAATTTGCTTGTGAATAGGATTCGGCAGCCATCGATTTTGCTTCCTGGTTTGAAACCTCATGCAAGGTGGTGAAAGTTAACATGTTCGGCTGTCTAAGGTGTAAGCTCAATGATAATTATTGAATGGAAAGTTCCCACTGAATGATTTGGTGGTTATGTTTGATTGTTGAAGATGTTTAAGCGGTGCCGTGGTCATAGAAAATTTTCCAAATGCAAGCTTGAAACCAAATTGCAATAGAAGGGTGATATCCAATTGGATGTTTCCATTTCTTACTTCAATATATTGCCGGCTACCATAAGCAATTACGTGAGTTTAGCAAGTGAAGCAATACATGTTTGACCGAACAATTGCCTAGAAGCTTAGTTGCCTAAAGGTCCGTGATTGGTGCCTTGGGATATTTGGAATTCTAAGATACAATAAGGCCATCATTCGGACAACACCATTGCTTTGGCAATTACCAAATCAATGTAATGATGCAACTACAATTTTAGCATCTCGGGTTCAACTTCCAAAAGCAACTATGCTTGAAACATAAGGAAGTTTGTGTATGTGACTGCTTATAGTAATTGAAATGTTAAGCTTCCTACTGATACTTCATTCAAGATTTGGCAATATCGGATTTGTTGACATCGGGCAAAGTGGTAACAAAGGGAGATAAAATCTGGTCGTCTCCAAAAGTCCCCTACCAAAGAAAAAAAAAGGGGGCCAGTAAGAATTCTCATTGTCCAAGAAAAAAAAAAGAAATGGGCAGCGAGAAGATAGAAAACAATTGCCAATTGTCAAGGTGTCCGATTGAGTGGCCATGCTTTGATTATTAAATGTTTAGGCAGTGCAATGGTCATAGAAGGTTCCCAAATGCACGAGACTAATTGCAAGCAACAAATTCATTGTAATCAATTGGGGAATGATCCTGCGCATTGCACTTAGCCATAGACCACACGTTGAATTAATCGCTTAGTGAGCCTCTCATATAAAGCGAATGGTCCAGGCCTTTCTCTTATATTAAAAAAAAAAAAGGATCATCATCAAATACTTCAAGTCTCAATTTCAATCTTTGACAAGCAAGCTTTCAATTGGGTCTTGAAGTGGGGGCATTTGTAGACAAAGAAAATTTATTTAATTTATTTAGTCAAGATTAAATAAATTGAATTGATCTTGATTAAATTAAATTAAATTTGATAGAAGTCCATTATGTTTTGGACTGGCAAATTGGGCCAATATTATATGGGCTATTAAATCAGATTAAATCCATAATGTCTGCTTAAGTTGGAGTGAATTAATTGATTTATTAATTCACAATGGACTATTTGGGTTGGCCCATTATTTAAGCCCAAGTTAAATGGATTTCTTGGGTAACAAGTGATCCAAAATGCAGGAAGATTTCTGGAGGGTTTTCTTGAAGATTTAGCCTACATACTTTGGCTATAAATAAAGGTCTTCCCTCAAGGCAAAGACATAAGAAAAATTCCTAACTTTCGGAGAAACTCTGTCAAATTTTCTCAAGAGCTTTCTTCCTCAAATCCAAGTCCAAATCAAGTCGAACAAATCCTCCTGCTATCGGTGTTGAAGACTTGAAGTTCCAAGTGTTTGACGCCATCATCAAATCAATTGTTTTCTACGCCAAAATTGTAGGAAACATCCTTTCAATTGGAGAACAAGGCTTTTCGGCCCTTCAATTGAAGCTATTCGAAGAAAAGAATCAGGAGATTAATTTCTTTGATTTAAGAATTTTCAGAGATTGTAACCCGCTTATTATTTGATTTAATCAATTTGATATTTTTGCAAGTTTTCTTGTCTTTTATTTTAGGCAACAAAATTTGTGCTTACACATATAAAGAAAGTGCTTAAATGAATAGAGCGAGATACATAATGGGAAGTGGCATAGAGCTTAGTTCCAGTACTTATCAACTACAATTTGCTCTTAAAAACTATCGCAGTACTTAGCAACCTAATATGGACTAAGTTAGATGAATAGTAAAATTAAAATGTCATGGATATAATTTTTCAATGCCTTTTTTGTTGAATATGATAACAGCAAAAGAGGTGGCTGACTGTGGAATAAAAAGCAATATGTCTCCAGGGCAAAGAGCATGCTCGATAGTGAAGTGGCCCAATTCTTGTCAAAGGATCTTTGTTTCATGCCAATGCAATATGTTTTATAGCCGCTTGTAAGAATTACTGTTGGTGTTGTGCCTTCAGGTAGTCGAAGGTCAGCATATTGTGGAAGGGCCTATTTAAAAAAAAACAAATGTTTGTTAGATCTCTAAAGAATGCAGTTGTGAACAAATTGTATAAAAGAATGGACTTACCAAGTTGTGCTTAGAACAGCTTGTATAAAATTGGTAGAAAGAAACAAATGATATCCAATCGTGCTGCATAAATTTATGGAGGAGGTGACAGTACATAAATTGGGCTGGTGTCTGAACAAGAAACCAGATGCTTCAACATTGGATGTAATGTTTGAAAACATAGGCAAAGGAAGTGTCCATGGCATGAGAATATGTGATTGGGAAGCACAGAAAGCCATGGAATCGTAGGATAAATTTTCCTTGATTCTCAAGAAGACCATGTCATTCTCGTGGATCAAATTATTGATACAGTACAGTTCCCAACCTTCTTCAAAATATCCATCCTTGATTTTAACGTTCCAAGAGCGTATGCCATGATATACTTTAATTGTTATGTCATCTTGGAATCCAATTGAATCAAATAGATCAGGAGAGATTTTCTATAGAAGGAAAAATCGAGAGAGTCAAATTTATTAAGTGAGAAACAAATAATCGAGAAACAGATTTTTTTTTATTTACCAACCTGTTTGGTTCTATTTGAACAAAAAAGAACAAAACACCATGGTCGCCCTACTGGTATGCTTTCAAAGGAAGCGATGGTTGTATCTATAGACAAGGCTATAGCGTGAGGCAGGAAGGACACTTGAAGCAATAAATATAGAAGATTTAAGATATGAGTATACCACTAGTTCTGGAGGATGAGAATGGTGGTGTAGATGTATACTCTGCTAGCTTAAGAAAGCACTATATCCTTGCAAATGATGAATGGAAAGACGATATAATGCTTGAAATTATGGATGGGCACAATGTCTATGATTTCATTGATCCTGATATTTTACAGAGGCTTGAGGAATTGGAGCGTGAGGAAGGTATTCGGCAGGAACAGGAGGCTAATGATGATTTTGAGATGGATGGTGCTGAGTTGACTGCAGAAGAACAAGAAGCCCTAGCTGAGATCAGGAAAAAGAAAAGCTTTCTCATTCAACAGCATAGGATGAAAAAAAGTACTGCAGAGAGCCGACCAATTGTTCCCCGAAAATTTGACAAAGAGAGACAGTTCACTTCTGAAAGAATGGGAAGACAGTTATCATCTCTTGGACTTGATCCTAGTTTGGCGATTAATAGAGCTCGTAGTAAGTCCAGAGGTCGTAAGAGGGAGAGATCACCTGAAAGAGGAGAAGATGCCATGGATGTAGACAATGATCAACCTAGCAAGAAGCTGCGCTTGAGGTCTAGATCTCGGTCAAGGTCACGTCCACCAAATGAAGTGGCCCTAGGAGAGGGTTTCAAGGACTCTGCTCAAAAGGTTAAGGTTGTGAAGCTGGCTAAGAAATCTGTAAAGAAGAGGAACAAGGATGCTCGGCGTGGAGAGGTTGACAGAGTCATTCCTTCTCTAAAACCCAAGCACTTGTTCTCTGGCAAAAGATCCATCGGAAAAACCCAGAGGCATTAGTGAAATTAAGGAACGTCTTAACCATGCCAGAGATGGTGTAGGGCGCTATCTTGCCTTTGATGCTGCATGGGTCATTACTGTCTTCGGAGAATTGTATGAATTTGGCGTGTTATCTCCCAACATTTGGACTTTGGATCAAGATGCACGAGGCTCTAGAGATTGTCTGGGGGAATCAATGCCACAGCAGAGTTGATGCTTTTTCAACTGTCTGCTACAATTTTGAGTTCAAAAAGTTTATTAGTTGCAAGTGAAGTTTTAAATGCTTGTTGAGAGAGTTTTTTGAGTATTCAGAATGTTTAAAATCCAAACCCATCTTTATGTATTTTAGCCACTGTTTTTATTTCAATTTGCTCTATGGATCCCATTGAAGTTCTTTGTTCGAGACTAGTAAGCGTATGTTTCTGTTTGATTTGAAAAAAAAAAAAAGAGTATACCACTAGCTATAAAAGCTTCAGGTGAAAGGTTGATTATGGGAAAGGGGTACCAGTACAGGCACACAATATCAGAGTTAGCCCAAGATAAATTTCTCTTTCCCCAAATACCAGTTAAAATAGGAATAAACCAAATCACCAAGTAATAATACTAATAGTGATAATAAAATGCAAAGAAAAATAAAAGCACAGGACACCAAGATTTTTACGTGAAAAATCCAAATTGGGAAAAATCACGGGACCTAGTCCAGTCAAAAACTCTCCACTATCACAATAATAGAAATACACAGGTCTATCTGAAATATTCGGATGACAATAATAGCACCAATATCAACCAAACAAATCTACTATAAAATCACCCCCAAAACTATAACTGTCAAAGAAGTAGATTTGGAAAGGTGTTTCCAAACGAAGAGAAAATTCCAAATCTGAATTGGTAGATGAGTAGAATTTGATGAGAGGATCCCGTGTGTAAAATTTCGTCTCAATCGGACTTCAAATCACCTTTCAATTGAGGCTTTGAAGTTATTTCTCTCTCTGCTATTTCTCTCTTTTCATCGCACTCAAAAGTGGCGGCTGACTTTTTCTCGCGCAAGACCCGAAGCCAGAATCTGACCTACGGCTGCTCACTTTTCTATTTAAGCTTGAGAAACCCTCAAGCATTGCTTGTGTTTTGGTTGGCCCACAAATGGGCTGGCCCACACCCAACAATCTCCCCCTCCAGCTCATTTGGGGGGTTCCACCAAACCTACTTCTTATTTGCAAAACAAAAGTTTCTCCTTAGACAATGCTTTGGTGAACATGTCAGCACCATTATCAATTATATGTACTTTCTCAAGTGTCAACAACTTGGAATCTAGTACTTCCCGAATCCAATGATATTTCACATCAATGTGTTTGGATCGACAGTGAAATGTGGAGTTCTTACACAAATGAATAGCACTCTGACTGTCACAATAAAGATTATATTTCTCTTGTTTTATACCCAACTCCTGAAGGAATTTCTGCAACCAAAGAATCTCCTTGCATGCTTCAGTGGTTGCAATATACTCTGCTTTCGTACTGGAAAAGGCGATACACTTCTGTAACTTATTTTGTCATGACACTGCTCCCCCTGCAAAGATCATTAGGTATCCAAATGTGGACTTTCTATTATCAAGATCACCTGTCATATCTGCATCAGTGTATCCATCTAGCATAGTTTTACCATTGCCGAAACATAGACATAATCTAGAAGTTCCCTTGAGATACCTGAGAATCCATTTGACAGCATTCCAATGCTCCTTACCAGGATTAGAGAGATACCGACTGATTACTCCAACTGCATGAGCAATATCTGGCCTGGTGCAAACCATAGCATACATCAAGTTACCAACAGCCGAAACATAAGGAACCTTCTTCATGTCTTCTTTATCTTTCTCACTTGTAGGACACTGTTTGATATTCAATTTAAAATGACCTGCAAGTGGAGTTGAGACTTCCTTAGCATTGCTCATGTTAAACCTGCTGAGCACTTTCTCAATGTATTTTTCTTGAGACAACCAGAGCTTCCCATTTTGCCTGTCACGTGAGATTTTGATCCCCAATATTTGTCTAGCCGGACCTAAATCCTTTATTGCAAAGGATTTACTTAACTTCTTTTTCAACCTGTCAATTTTTATAGTATCATGACCAACAATCAACATGTCATCAACACATAGCAAGAGAATAATAAAATCACCATGTGAAAAATTTTTCACATAAACACAGTGATCAGATGTAGTCCTGTGGTACTCATGGTATGTCATGAAGAAGTCAAACTTCTTATACCACTATTTCGGTGCTTGTTTCAACCCATACAAGCTCTTCTAGAGACGGCATACAAGATTTTCCTTACCACTTTCTTTGAACCCCTCCGGTTGCTCCATGTAGATCTCCTCTCCCAAGTCGCCATGCAAGAAGGCTGTCTTCACATCAAGTTGTTCGATCTCTAAATTCAAACTGGCTGCAATACCAAGAACAACTCGAATTGATGACATTTTTACCATATGAGAGTAGATTTCTTCAAAATCTATATCCTTCTTTTGACTAAATCCCTTCACAACTAATTTTGTTTTGTACTTTGATTGTGAGCTGGGCTCCTGAGCCTTCAACCTATAGACCTATTTATTCTTCAGAACTCTCTTACTCTTAGACAGTTTCACTAAGTCATAAGTATGATTCTCATTAGGGACACCATCTCCTCTTGCATGGCTCGCAATCAGTTTTCTTTGTTCTCATGCTCTAAAAGCTCATAGTATGACTCAGGCTCTCCTCCATCTGTTAACAGCACATATTCATGAGGATTATATCTACTAGAAGGTCTTTTCTCTCTGGTAGATCTCCTAATCTCATCTTGTAGTGGCGGTGGTGGAGTATGTGGCGCCTCATGCTCAGGTTCATCAGCAGTAGGATTATCAACATCATTAATATCCTCTCTCTCTCTCCGTCTCAGCTCTCCCTTAATTAAATCAACAGGTACTGAAATTGGATTTGGATTTGAATTTGAGCTAACAGGAATGTCATCTAAAGATTTTGAATTATCACCTTTATCAATGTCTTTAATGGTTTGATCTTCAAAGAAGACAACATCTCTACTCCTGATCACATTCTTCTCAATAGGATCATACAACCTATAACCAAAATCTTCATGTCCATAACCCAAGAAAATACACTGTTTTAATTTTATATCAAGTTTTGACATTTCATCTTTGGGAATATGAATAAATGTCCGACAACTAAAAACTCTCAAGTGTTTAAAGGACACATCTTTTCCCATCCATACCCTCTCTGGGATATCACCATCTAGAGGAACTGATGGAGAAAGATTGATCAAATCGACTGCAGTTCTCATTGCCTCACCCCAAAAGGGTTTTGACAATTTAGCATTAGAGAGCATACATCTGACCCGCTTAGTGATGGATTTGTTCATCCTCTCTGCTACTCCATTCTCTTGAGGAGTTTTTGGTATAGTTTTCTCCAATCTGATTCTATGGGACTTGAAATAGATTTCAAATGGTCCCCTATACTCACCACTATTATCAACACGAACACACTGTAACTGCTTGCCAGTCTCTCTTTCAACTTTGCTGTGAAAATCTTAAACACATCCAAAATCTAATCTTTGGATTTTAAAGCACAACACCAAATCTTTCTAGCAAAATCATCAATAAAAGTTATAAAATAAATAGCACTACCAAGAGACTTATCTTTCATATAGCAAACATCAGTGTGCACCAATTCTAACGAATTCAATTTTCTAGATGGAAGAAAATTTTTGAATGCAACTCTGTGTGGTTTCCCATAAATGCAGTCAACACAAGGTTTAAGTGCATTATCTCTAACTTCAGGTAGGAGTTGTTTACGAACAAGTGTCTGAATCCCCTTTTCACCCATGTGCTCAAGTCATCTATGCCACAGGTCAATTGATGAATCACGAATTGCATTGACTTCTCTCTTCCCCAACTTGGCTTGCATCAAGTAGAGGGTACTCTGTTTCTTTCCTCTAGCAACAACGAGATTTTCTTTGCTGAGTTTTCATTTGCCTCCACCTTGCAAGTTATGGTAACTCTCATCGTCAAGTTTTTCTGTAGAGATAAAATTAAGGCGAATATCAGGGACATGTCGAACATTTTTTAATATCAGCTGGCACCCGGTATCTGTATCCAAATATATGTCTCCCATGCCAACAACTTTGCATGAGACCTCATTTTCCATCCTAACATATCCAAAATCTCCTTCGGTGTAGGTTGAGAAGAAATGCCTCTGAGGAGTAACATGGTAAGATGCACCCAAATCAACTACCCAAATACTATCATAATGAATAATATTCACCTGACCATCATCACAGAACGCAAACATATCAACATAAGCTGCTACAATTGCTGTAGTGTCCTCATCATCTTTTTCTTTCGCCTTATCCTTTTTCTCAGATTGATCCCGTTTTAAAATTCTGCACTTCTTCATATAATGCCCATTCTTTTTACAATAATAGCATGCAACATTTTTTCGTAACTCAGACCTACCTCTGGATTTGTCATTCCTGTTGTGGGGTCCTCTACTTTTGCTTCTCCCTCTTCTTTCTTTCTTTTCTGTCACCAGGGTCTGGGACTCATAAACAATTCCTTGTTCCTTCCTCCTGAACTCTTCATTCATCACGGCCTCTTTTGCGATAGCCATGGTCAACACACCATTTGGAGCTGAATTACTGACGAAGACCACCATAGTTTCCCAACTATGTGGTAGTGAACTGAATAATAATAAAGTCTGTACTTCATCATCCAATTTCAAATTTAACGTAGTTGCCTGGTTTATCAATCCCTGAAAATTACTCAAGTGTTCAGTCATATCTTCCCCATTCTTATATCTCATTCGAGTAATCTGCTTCAAACAACTAGCCCTGTTCAAACCTGTACATACTCTCAAACTTTTTTCATAATATATCAGTTCTAGTGTCATTAGCAAAATATTGAAAAATACTTTGACCAATCCATTTTCTAATATTGCCAACAGTTTTTCTGTGCATATTAACCCGTTTTTCATCACTCATAT